TATGATATCTAAGAGACTGTTACATGAGTTTTGACGGCTACTGCAGTTTCGGTCCAAAGAGAAACACATTGATGACGTTTCCCGGAACAAGAGGTCCAAAATGGTTGCACAAGTAAATTGAAGGAAGTCAAACAAAATGATTGGTCAGTGTTTCTGAATACCTTACAATAACAAAAACAACACACACACAACACTCCCCCACTAAGGAACTTTTTTTCTTTTCCTCTCAGAATTCGTCCACTTATGCCGTTGTCGTAACAAGGAGGCACACCCCTTGAACCAACGTTTCCAACTTGTTTCTGCAAGATAATTAGCTTCCCATCGTCCCCTAAAACATCCTTCACTCCTGCATGTACCCCAAAACCCTGCTAAGTTTTCTCACAACAGCAACGATTTTGCTGAAGTTGGTGCTGTTGAGTCTCCGACCCCGGATGTGGGTGGAACCGATGGACGGTTATTGATTGTGCGAATCGTGTGTTACCAAAACCCTCCCCAGTGGCTTGCCGCCGGTGGATTAAAATGCCAGTCAATTCCCTTGCCAGGAAAGTTGCTGTGAACCGGTCTGCGTTTCCATTCTCTCAAGTATTCATCCGACTTATTCTTGGCCCCCACTAAGTTCAACACCCTGTCACTGAATATCCCTCTTGGGTATCGTTTTGGCAAACGTAACATGTTATCCATTGGCATTTTCTCCATATCGATTTCTCGCAACTCTTGGCCTCGATCACTTTGGTGTATTGACTGTACAACCCGTAACAGTTGCCGATCTCCCTGTCTGGGTGTGAAGTTTCTCTGTCAAAAATATGCCGCGACCGGTCAAACAAGGAAATAGAGTTACAGGTGTCATCAGTGGAAGCTAAATAATCTACATGGAAACTTTCGTCAACGACCTCCTTGGTTGCTCCATGCTCTCCGATACAGAAAGTGTCTATGGTCTTCCTGAGTGCATGGTTAGCGTAGAAAGTTGACGAGACCACACCAAGTTGATGAACGGTCAACTGACATTCATTAGCCTCCTGGTCCATGTTACCGTGCCTCCCCGGCAAGAGAAGTAATGCTGGTCCACCATATTCCGGAATCCTGACCTGTGAGAAGACTTCTTTTACGTGAGTTGCAGCAGCGATGACCCCGGCTCCGAGTCTCAAACACATTCCAGAAAGACTGTTAACCTCTTTATATCCCTCGAGCAGATCGATATCCTTGGCTAATCATTTTCTTAAAAATACAGGTCTACGTTTAGCCACTTCATGATTATCGGGTGGACCAGGTCTGTCAAATCGCCAGGGTAGCCCAACCTCGAAATGTTCGTCGACTGACCCAGAGGAACGGTCCACCATTTCTAATGCTCTTTTATCCTCGACAGAAGGCATTGCGCCAAAACTGCTAATATCCTTGAACCCATGATCATACAACCTGTAGACTTTCTGACACGCTACAGATATTTGAATACTGGCAAAGGGCAGCTTTACGTGAGGACTTATCTTGCTTTAAACCAAACACAACCCAAGGGGTTTTTTACTCCAAACGGTTGGTTTTTATTTCCAAAACTCTGTCCCAGGGCCCTGTGCGCGTCCGGAATATCATATCCGATAAGGATTTCAACGGTACCACTATGTAACCGAGGCAACTTGATGTCTCTCAAATGGCCCTAGACCTTAATCTTTCGCCCAAACAGAGCCGGCGCGCCGGTATTAGTAAGTGACCAACGGTGTAAGCCCTCTGCACTTTCAGTGAACCGTGTCCATCCAGCGAGTAGGGTTCCACACTCACTTTCAGACACTAGCACTTGGAAGTCCTAGTCACGGTCGTGACACTCAGGGAGGACTTCCTACCAATAAGGCCAAGATCCTTGACAATGCTTTCCGATATCATCTATGTGTCTGATCCGTTATCCAGTAATGCATAAGTCTCCGTGCTCCCCTTCAGGTCTGTCAGTCCCACTGGAACGACTCTCAAGTTCACCTTAGGAGATCCTATCTCCTTCGTCAAGTGGGTCATTGGTCCAGGTACTTTGGCTTCATTGTCTGTCACGCGCAGCGAAGAGTTATCATTCACTTTGCCATCTCTAAACATACATTTAAGCCCGGCATTGCAAAACTTGGCTATGTGACCTTTCTTTAAACAACTGTAGCAGACACCAAGTTGTTTGATTGCTAATCTTCTCTCGTCAGTCGGCATTTTCAGTAGCTTTGGGCATTAAGGAAGACTGTGGGAAGCATGAAACAAGATGCAACTCATAGTACGCTTGGCCCTATCACTTATCGAATGATTAGTGCCTCCCACTAAATTGCAGAGCGACCTACTACTGAATTGTGAGCCAGAGTCCTTCACCCAATCGCTTTCCAATTTGAGTTCCGTCAGCAGGCCGTACCTCGAACGAGCTACTCTAGCTCTCCTCCCAACGAAGTAAACCAAGTTCTCGACTTCAGGTTCATTCCCGGTGGTCAAAATCCTGCCTGCTGCGTCAGCCCATCTGCCTAGTGAATCCATGGGTAACCGACTGACAACAGCCTCCAAGTTGACCGGGTAATTCACGTCTATAACATAGCTTACATGTGACAACGTCATTTCTGCGTTCCTAAGCTTCACAGAAGACTCCTGAATGGCCTTAACAGTATCTTCCACCGACTGTTTACTTCTAGCCAAGTCATCAGTAGGCAATCGAGCAACCATGTGCCCCTGTCCAGAAAAACCACGGGGGATTTTTCCAGCTCAGTCATATCCGAGGCCAGTTGGCAGTGAAGTACACGCTCCTGTCGCTATCCTTGTCTTGCAAGAGAGAAGACAACTTCTGGTCTTTGTCAGTAAGTTTACTCCCTACCACAGCTTTAAACTGACTCATAAACAGCTGGTATTGACTGGGCCGTCCATTAAGTTACATCAACTCTATCCCTGGTAAAGAGATGTTGTCCAACATGTGGTCAATGTTTTTGACTACATTACAAGAACGAGACCAAGACACACGCAACGGAAGCCCCATATTAGGATACACGTGGTTTCTTCGAAGTGCTTCCCAAAACCACCCTAGATATTCACTGTTCTTTACACACTCTTCTAGAAAACCGATCTCTGCATTCGTCGCGGGAATCTTGACATAAAACAGCAGAAACCCATTCAATTTCCTTACCGTATGAGGGTCCTTGCTGGTTTCAAACCTCAAAACGTCCTCTTACAGATGTATGAGAAGATAGCTCCACAGCAACTCTGTATTATCGTTCACTGGTATGTACTGATGATTTGAATGCTTGGGGTAGATCCGAAGGCCAACGAATATCCTAGTTCACAAGGCCGAATTTTATGCTTTTCTAAATTAGACCAATGAGAAGCAGCTCCTTGTCAGCACGGAGGAGTTTTAGGTAATGACTGCGGCCAAATAAAAGTTCACTTCTAGTCCTTTTGCTCTGGCGGAAAAAATGACCGTCACTCGTGGAATGAAAAAATGGGAGGTTTGTCTGTAGTGACACATGTCAAGCCCCTGCCCACTGTCGCCATGCAGCAATTAAGGCATGCGGACTCCTCTGGATTATTTTTCTGGATTTGGGGGAACCAACTGCTGAAGTTGCTGTAGTCCCTTTTCGTGATGATAATGAGGATGGTGATATTTATTTTGCTTTCCAAACTCTCTAAACTTTTACAACTTCAATAAGGAAGTCACATTGATATATTACCTGTCAAAATGTCATGTGTTCGTATAATTCATTACTCGAAATATATTATTACTATGTGAACTGCTTGGGGTGTCCAAAAACCTTTAATGAGGGTTCAGGCACACGTATTGTTCCCTTAGTTTAATAATGCTTTGTACTTCACGACTACTATAGTGCCAGGCGGTAATGTTACCACCTTTTTATTACGAGGATATGTCAGTGTCCTTCCCATTAGCTTTCCAATATTCATTCTCAGAGACTCAAAAACGGTTTACCATATGAGAGAACTATCTCATTGCAACCAAATTCACCTCACAAGTTTCGAAGTTCGGTCTTCTGATGATCACCTTTCTAGATTATATCGCGGATCAAATGCACCAATACTTTGTACAACTCCCATTTTCAGTGCTGTGAAAATCAGCTGTCGTTTATTTCGCTTGACAGACAGAAATAGTGGTTTAAACTCCCTGATTAACATTAATCAGCATGAAAGCGAAGGTATCCTATGACTGAAATCCCGGTCCTTTATGCACGTGTGAGATTTGCATGAAGATAATCTCTTCCTAAATTCCAGCACTGTAGTGATCAAACTGACTGGATGGCGCTTAACATTAAGATAGCTATAGGAGAATTGCGTAATGTACTCATGCAAAGACCGTCAAAAGAGAAGTTACGTTGCAGTGCCATGGCTCCCCATCGTCTGAATGTAAATGCGGCAGAGCTATCTCTCAGTTCAGGCAAAACATATATGAAACAACTGGTGGCCTGTCTTAGCCCTTTTGCTTGGAACCTAACGAGACATCCATGTCACATAGCACCATGGCCCACATTGATCTAGACCAGTGAGGAGACGTCATTGTGTTTTCCTGCTTCAGACTGTCACCGAAGATCAATCAGTTATCAAGTGCGGATAACATCAAAGTCTACATATGATTTAAAGGGCGAAACGTGAATTGGTACCGAGTTTGGTCGCGCTTTTCAATGTACAGCTTGAATCGCAAAATGCTTCACCAGAACTGATCAGTATACTTAGGAGACATGCTGCATCAAAAGTATGTTTACGCGTACTTAACTTAGTCAAGATTTGACACGACCACAGAATACACATAGCGGCTGTAAATGAAAGTGCTGTGTGGTCACCTTTTGGTGATACCAGAGGGATGATGGGAAACGATTTGAAATAATATGCTATGATCAAAATGCTATGCACCCTACTTACAAGTACAATATTTCCGTTGGTAATATGAAGTTTTCAGTCTCCGAAAAGCATCAAGATCCAGAAGTGACAGCTCAAAAACTACAAGTTTCTCCCACTCGCTAAATTGATGTTGGAACATTCAACTTGTTTGTATTACTCAGAACGTTTAGATGATCCACAAGTACATTTACGATCTCAAGGTTATGAGGCTCTCAACTTTTCTCACTAGAGGTGAGTGTTCTGGAAAGATTATTAGGTTCAACTCTGACTTCAAATTCAGGGCTCAGAAGGTTTGTGAACAGAAGGGCAGCTACGGGATGTTTCGTTGCTGGAGGAAGTTTACTAGCTTCTTATGTCTTCTATTCAACTTATGAATTTCCTACACAGAGACCATTATTTACAGCATTGTGTGCTACCAAGTGGGCTCCTCAGGGTTCAGTAAGGCATGCAGCTTTGATTTCTGTTATTTTCTCTAGGTTGTCAGCGAAACAAAGGCCCATGCGCTATACTTAACTATTCATCTGGATCCTCGCGCATCACCACGGGAATGTTTGAAGTCCATTGGACAGATAAAGGTACTTCCCGTGTTCATAAAATCCACAGTCTTGATTTTATGAACATTTCGATTTTTATGCGTGTGGTAATGCGGAGTTGCTAAAGTGGTTGGAGATACCACCCAGTCAACATTTTAGCGATGCAAAACGAGGGACTAAGCAGAAAAAATGCATTGAAAACTTGAAGCAAAACTCCGATTTTTGCAGCTTTGCCATAAGTTCCGCCCTGTGTTCTATTTTCGACCCACTTTCATTTTGTCTGTTCACACGGAAAATTAAGAAAAGCATCTCATCTATAAAAATCTGCAGAAACCAGTAACCAAACAAAACTGAATAAAGTATGTACACACAGTTATTAAGGATATATGCATATAAATGCCCCCGTCTCCTAATAGGATGTTCTTTGAAATGTAAACCGATTGTGATACGTGTTTTCCTCTACGTGATCCATGTATCTTCCGTATTTTGCTGTTAGAATAGTCTGTGAGACCTTCAATGTAGTCTGTATGCGTTTCATAACTAGATCAGCGGTTTATTAATTATGGTCATAGTATTATAAAAGTAGCGCAGCAAAAATAAAAGTAATGAACGTCATTCATTGTTGCGGATATGGTTTGTGAACACCGTTTGTTGTCGAAAGTCATTTGGCAAGTTATTGGCTTGAAACTCCTATTTTTTGCCTTTTCTGAAATAAGTTTGGGCGTTTTTCTGTTGAATTCATACTAGGGGGGTCTCAATTTCACTCTCGAATTTATAGATTACTAAACCAAGTTGGGATTTGGTTTGTAAAAACTTGGACTTTATATACATAATATTAATTATTTTGTTATTTGTATTTCTCAATGAATGTAAGACAAGATATATTTGTTTCGACTAACAACAGACTTGTTGTTTTACATTCATTGGGAAATACAAATACCAAAATAATGTTGACTCCTGGAATGGAATGCTATAAGCACAGTCTTCCTTCATTTTTATGGTATTACTTTTCCGGAAGTGTACTTCTTTAAAGTATCGTTCTTGTCATCTAAGTAAGGTTAGTTTGACTGCTGTGTTTTCACTGCAGTAATTGGTGACTGCTGTATTGCGGAATAACTTTCTGACGGAAGTAAATTACTTCTATAGTTAAGTTTGAGTGATAGATAGACTAATCAAAATCACTTGACTATTATAAACTTAAAATTAGAACATATTGCTTCAAACTACAAAGCTTTCATATCCCTTCCTCAACTCTCATACGCGGCATATTGCAGCAGTTTAATTTCTTGTATTTGCATTCTTGTCCGTTTTTTTTTCACTAACCATTCATTTGAGTGTGTAAATTTAATTAAAAGCCTATTGTACGCATCAAAGTTTATTTGGCTTTCACTGCAATGTTTTGACTTCCGTGATATTTGCTATTAGTGCTGATAAAATTAATTTTTCATACGTAATTAACATAAAAGATCAAATTTCGTATATATATATATATATATATATATATATATATATATATATATATATATATATATATATATATATATATATATATATATATATATATATATATATATATTGAAGTGTGCTTAAGTACTGAAATAAACGTGCATTACACCCATTGAAAGCAGTTCAGACTAAATATACATGTATATTACTAAGATATCTATCTTGATTCTATTACTAAGGAGATGCTTCCTCAGTAACGTAAGACAAGCATATTACCAAGTCTCATTAGTATTTTACCACTGTTGGGGAAACTTATGGTGACAAAAGCGCTCATGAGATTCTGTGTTCATTCTTTCGAATACTTGTGAGTTGTTTTAATCCTTATATTTTAATTCCTAACAAACTTCGGGCTTTTCTATGCATACTCACAGATAAATGTAAGGTAAACTAATTGTGATCTCTTTTCAATTTTCACACTTTATGATAAGGGGGTTAACAATGAATCCAAAAAATGTAATACACAACATATGCAAATTTCCTTATATTTGATGAGTGAAATGAAGACCGTGATTTTGTCCTTACCTTGTTGATTTTAGAAACATGTGGATACAATTTGTCCACCTGATATGCGTGGGGAAGACGATGAAATCTTATATGGTGTTGGTTTTGGAGTTGAATTCTTTCAAAAAGTACATCCTGACTTCCTATCTAGAGGAGTTCATCATTACGAGTATCGTGAGAGATCAGGCGATTTAGGCAAACTACCTAAAACAGGTGGGTTTAGTTTCCGTTTTATGCATACCAGAAGAACTATTTGTTGGTTGCATCTGCAATTATAGTATAAAAGAGCAATGATATCACTGCCTTGCTATTTTACCTTATTAATGTAAGTGTAGAATTTGGGTAGTGGTAGTGTCATTCCGTATTAGCTTAGTGTATTTGATGTGGCATACAGTGATACAGTAACTCATCTTATTTCATGGGATTCAGTGGAGTCGGTAGTATGAGATACGTGCATAGCATTTCAAATACTAGTCTGCATGTGTTTAGCGATATTGGCCTGTCTTTTATTTCACCCTGTTTCGTTTGCGTTAGCACAAATTCACTGGTCATCTCCAAATTGCACTAAGATTGATATCTACTCAAAAGTGTTCACCAATAAATACTTTTTAGATGAAGATTAAAGGATATGCACTGCATTCGATTTAAAGTAAAAGTGAATTATATCGTCATAACCAAACATCCGGTTAACGAAAATTTGTATCTCATCATTGTTGTTTAACGTTCATTTACCGTTAGGTCTTGAACAGTATACATCGAGTAGTTGAGCTTAAGACACTGTTTATAGTTGACCTATGTAGGTAATTATCTCTAGTCTTACAAATGCTAACCACAACGAATGCGTAAAATGTTTGGCTCTTTCCTATTTATTCTTTCCTGGGAATTCAGTTTCATCTAGTACTTATATATTAAGCTCACCATTGATTCGCTTCACCCTGTTAGGTAAGAAAACTTTAGCTTGTAGCAGACTCCACGGAGTATTTCTACATAACTGCAGCTTACTGGTTAAAAATCCCAAGCGAGCCAACTGAACTTATAGAAAAGTAATTTTTAGTTAGGTTGCTAGTGAATAACGTTATTGGAAGCACTATGACAAATGAGATCGGTGAAAATGGTAGTTTGGTTTTTATTGGAAACGCTAAACATGAAATGGTATAATTGCGCCAAAGTTGTAAATACACAGAATCGTTACATGACTGTTGCATCCTGAAATAATTTTCCCAGAAGTACTTGACAAAATTTTGAAAAAGAATGATTTAAATGTACTACATATTTATAATTTAATTACCAGTGGCTAGCATTAGAATCCAGGATGCATATTTCATCTCCTATTTGGGAGGCTTCAGCTGGATGTGCCTGCACCCCACTACCACCCATCACTAATTAAATTATAAAGATGAATATTCGGGTGATATTAAGGCATCCACATATGTATCTATGTACCAACAGAAGTTTATCAGTTCAATCCAGTACAAAAACGGAAGATTACAAGTATCAACGAATAAGGAGTACCATATGTTTGCTTGTACTTTCTTTCGTTTAGTTTGCAATATATAAACATTTATGCATGGGTGGCTTTTGTAATCGACTCTTAACCAGTGGGTGAAGAGTTCACACCCAGCCCCATCTTCCAAAGTTGAGATGTAGCGTATAACCGAATGGATATATTTGCACTCAGTTCTTCAGTTACATGTGTATATTATTAGATTTATGCTACGCATAAATTTCAAGTCTACTTTTCCAGTTATCATTTCTACATAAACCAGGTGGCGATATATTCATTCATGCTAAATGTCATGAATATGGGAAGTTATTTGAATTGACTCAAGCTATCATCAACAATTTACCACCCGGATCTATTGCTAAGTTTGAAGATGTCTACGGATGGGTCTACCGTAACGGACGTGACTTAAGTGGTTTCATTGATGGTAAGTAAATTGATTTTTGTATTTTGTCATTCTTTGAAAACGTTCCAACCTTTTCGCACAACTTTAACCTGAAAAAGGTATACAACTCGTATTCTATTTGAAGTGAGTTAACTACCAGACTTTGGTTTAGAGATGGGGGGGGGGGTTCATATAAAAAAGTACCTCAGATAAAGTGAAGACATACCTTTCTCTGTTGTTCCACATCAGCGGTGAGGTCACCTACTCTTGTCATTCTTCTTCACCTTTGATGATATTCTTGAAACAGCTCTGAAGGACGTGAATGGTGGTGGTGCAAGATCATAAGGATCATATGTCTATACACATTTTTGCTAGCAAGCCATTAGTCCGTATATCCGGGTAGTTGTATGGTTGCTGTTGGTGTGACTGCAAAAATTTCCACTGACAAAGCAAAAATCAATTTCGAGTGTGTCCATCTTGATCACTTTCGCTCAGTTGAGCCCGTTAGCTTGGCTTTAGAAAATTAGATGTACAATAAGTCACTTTTTTACATCTGCTATATTTAAGTTCTTGAATCTGAGAACATCTGATGAACGTGCGTGTTCAACTACCGTTGTCTCTAAAGAATTGCTTAAATCTGATGGAAAAATGACTTTATATATATATATATATATATATATATATATATATATATATATATATACTAGTGACATGCTTACAGATGGATATTCCGAAGTTCCAACGAGAAATCTCACCTGTTGGGTCAACCAGTTCGGAAGTGAAGCGGATGTCAACTGATGGCCTTGGGTGATAGTCGCGATATATTGCGAATTGACAGATGTAAGTAACTGTAGACCATTAAACCCCGACCTAGTGGTTGGATGGTTAACACACTCTTTGCGAGATCTACATGTTCTGAGGTCTATCTCTGATAGAGTTGCAGGTGCCTACTGATGAGTATTCCTGTACTGAAACAAAACAGCTATTCAACGCTCTGGGATTTTCAGTGGTTTTCTAACTATTGTCAGTCAGTCTGTGATGAATACTACATTGAAGTTAGTCAATTATCAAGTTAGAATGACAGATTAACAACATAACTGTACTTTGAAGTTATGCGGGTACAATATCTCGTATTTAGTATAATTGTTTTTATGTCATACCGCCGTTGATTGGACCAAATTGATCGGTCTCTATTGGCATATGGGATCCTGTGCGGGTGCCTGGATATTACCAGTGCTCTAATGGTAGTAATGATGGATAGTGGCTAGCATTGGAATCCAGGATGTGCATGTCGTCCTATTTAGGACTCGTCAGCTGGATATATCCAAGTCCGAATCCCAACGGGAACAACATCACTCACCGGGAAGCAGGTACACCCAGCTGATGAGTCCCAAATAAGACGAAATGTGCATCCTGGTTTCCTCTGCTAGCCACTATCCATCATTAATATCTCTTGTTGTTTTCACAAAGTGATTTTACTCTCATACATTAAAATGGCTGAATTGTAGCGTGCTCGCCACCTAACCTAGTTCCGATGCCTCATAGGGTCTTGGATGCCTATTGATGTGGTGTCACATAATACGACGAAACAGCTGCCCAGTCCTCCCTGGTTTTCGATGGCTCTCCAACTGGTATTGGTTCGTGATGTGAATACTACCTTGACTTGACTGTTGTTTGCTGCCACCTAAAGTACCTTGTTAGTCTCATAATTGATATACATAGTTATTTTTTGACCATAGCATATTAATGCCACTCTGTATACTGAACTGCTGATTGCAATGGGGTCAAATTACACCTGTATGGATGGGAAACCAGTCATCTTAGGAGGTGTGTTTAATCATATTGTGTTCCTAATTCTTATCTAGCTCACAGTTTGAATGACGAAGTTAAGTGAATTTCATGCTATTGAACAGACCAACTTTTTCGTTGAAGAGAGTCGGTGGTGAGAGTAGTTAGAGTAAGCATATATTTCTTCAGTTTCTATTTATTTAGTATAAATGTCAAATTGTATATGAAATCTTAGCTGGACATAAAATAATAGGCTCCACTAGTGCATTTGTTACTTTGTCACTTCATAATAACATCTCTACTTGTTTTCGGTGTTTACACTAAGGCACAGAGAATCCAGCAGATCCAGATGAACGAGCTGAGGTGGCTATCAACCCTAAGACAGGTGGAAGTTATGCTGTTGTTCAAAAGTGGATTCACAATATGGATTTGATTCGGTCAACAAAAGGTAAGTAAGAAAATGTGTTGAAGGGAAATAGTATAAATGGTTATATTATGTCTTCCAGTTTTGGCTGTCATACATATTAAATTATGATTGAAACTGAAGGAGAATTTGAGTCACAATTAGCTTTAAGTTAGTGGTTTTCAGGTCAGTCTATCTGTCTGTCTCCTCGTTCAACTATGAAACTTCACCTGTAATTTGAATTCACCCCGTCTCGAACACCAAACAGTAGAAAACTAAATGAATTGAAAAACTAAATGTTAACTCAGCAACTAGGTGTACATTCGTGCAGTAAGCTATACCTATTGCGTTGTAAGATTTAGTGACGTTACCTGGTGGCTCAAACCTCTGTAGGTGGAGTGGGGTTCAAACGCGTGATACCCACCGGTTGAGAATCAAACGTCTAAACGAATGAGTTGTACCTTTACCAAGTAGTTAACCTGGCTATCTTATCGCATCAAGGAAACTATATCTGCCTGCATTTCATCAGTGGTAAGAAGCTGGTCATTCTTCCCATCTCCATGGAATTGCGTGGTCACCTGGTGTGATAACATCCATATTCCATGGTTAAGGAATTCACTTGCAACCTAGTTTTGTTATTGTTTATTGATATTTGTAAATCCTTGTTGTTATACTGTGTCGGAATGCTTGGCGTCTGTTGGCAGATGGGATGTACTCTTGCTGTTGTGCGAATCTCTTTTAATTAGCTTATGCGTGCTACCGGTTTTTTAATGGGTTGCTATAAATTTCAGTTACAGCGATCGTTTATATGAGATTTTTTACGAATTGTCATTGAGGTTATTGGTCCGAGGCCAATTCTGCTTACGGAGTTATTGAAAGCCAAGTACCATCAGTATCTGTCACACAGTTGGTGTGGCTCGTTATCTAGTGCAAAAACATGTACATGGTTTATTAAAAAGAGAGAGAGAGATGAACCCCAACACACATCACACAACGAGTAGCTTAACAATATTTTTAAGACGATATAAAGGGGCCAGGAGGTTACTTTCTGTGGTATTTGTCTAACGGGTTTCAGTCATGTGATTTTTCACTGAACTTCTACGCCTTGCGGTGACGACATTCAGTTGAAATCTATGTTTTACAACCTCAATTAGCATACAATACGCAACAACTGTCAACCGTCGTCCTCATCACTAAATTATTACAAATCAAGGTTGATTAAGAAAGAAAGAGATGTAGTCATTGTGCTGAATAAGAAGGATACTCCATCGATTAAGGTGGATAGGATATCTGCTGAGCATGCTGAGCTATCACCCACCTCGAAGTTCCATATTAGGGGAAGTTGGACTAGATTAGAAGAGGTTTTGGGTAGTTAGACCATGACGTGGCACCAGTCCATGCAATCTCTGACTGTTGATCTGAGCTGTGTAGGGAGGTGTAGTCTATGTGGCTAGGTCCTCGAGATCATAGAAACCAATAGTGGAGGACTCATGGTGAAATGGCTGAAAATGGATCAGAATAGAGCAGATGTGTTCACTTTGATTGATATCTTCTGAAGCGTGAATATTTCCACTAAGTTAGCTCTTAAGCACCTCTCCGTTGTGTGTGTGTGTGTGTGTAGTTCGTGTTTCTGTAACTAGTGATCCTCAATATTTTGTTATTTCCTGATTGCGCAATTCTCGTAATTCGTTTGTTTCTTCGTGATTAGCTCCGTTATTGATCAATTACTGTTGTCATCAGTCTGTTGCATAATCATAAAGTCTGATAGCTTGTTTTGTGACTTTCAATTTACCGCATTTTTCTACTATGACTTCAGTCAATGAACTGTATTTAGTTTATTTGTTCATGTATTATGCAGTTATGAATTGGCGTTCGATAGCAGCCTATTGCTCATTAGTCCGTAATGTAATAAGATGATTGTCACTGAAAGGAAACAGTAAACTGTCTATAAAGGAAAACGCTCGACTTCATTGCTTACTGAAGCTGGTGTGCATCAAGGTGCTGTACTTTCTCCTTTTCTGTTTTCATTCTTTTTGCACGATTTACCTTATTCTGTCGAAACATTTTATTAAGTATGCTGATGACCTGATGGTGTCTATTCCAGTTAACTCTCACTTAGATTGCTCTAAATTAAATGGATTTTCGTCTGAAGTTGGCCAATGGTCTCTCAAATGGTCTCAATTTAACCCTTGTAAATGTCAGACTGTTCATTTTAGCCTCAGGCCTAAACAAGACGGACCTGTGTGAACTGCCTAAGTCTCATGATGCCTGTTGCAGTACTGATGGTATTTCCGCAGAAAGTTAATCGGGTATTAACTATCTTGGGTTGAGTTTTACTTTTGACTTTTGTTAGTCGTTTCATATCTTGTTGACTTGTGAAAAAACGGAGGCTTTCTGGTATAACTCAACTTCTTGTTTTAGAATTTATTAATTCCTGCATTCACCTATTCTTCTATATTGTTCCCCACTGATCTTTCCTGGTCTTCTAAAAGAGGGACTATGCTATGTTGCGTAGGGCTTTGAAAGCCGTCAGCAGGGTGAGTGATGTGCCTTTGGCTCAACTGATTAACACTGTGGTTGATAGACATTTAAATTCCAGCAAGCAACTAGCTGCAGAAATTTTAACTGACACTGAGCATTCACTTCATTCATAGGTCTCTCTATGTATCGCCTCAGGGAGGAAAAGAAGAAACTGCATAAGAGTGTACACTCGTACAGCTAAGTATAAGAATTCGACTGTACGTTGCCTAGCACGCATATTTTGTTAGGAATAAGTGTTAGGACAGAAATCACACACAGACATTGCAACAGTTAAAAATCGCCTTTCAATAACTCAACTAACAATGTAAAACTTTCTCGTTCATAATATTCTTTACTTTACTTAAATTTTTATAACAACAGAATTCGAAATGTTTAAAAGGAGTATGTATATACTCATATTTTATTGTTGTTGCAATATGTCATGCTGAGAATTCTAAATTGTATTACAAATTGTTTGGAATAAAGTGGATTATTATTATTACTGATTAACGGTTATTGTGGGGATGATGCACGCATTTCGCCTGAGTTCACTCTTATCTCTGTGTGGGTTTCTAGTCTAGACAAGCTATCGACTCCTTGATGAGAAATGTCACTCAGAGCAGTTGGTTTGAAATTCGTTGACAACAGTGAATTCAGTGCGTAAAGTAATCGTTAAATGGCATTCATTTTTATTATCGGTGCCGTTTTATGCAGCTGTGGCTCATCCATCGGCTTAGGGAGGTAGTTCTCAAGCAATACGATTGTGGGTTCGGACACCGTCCCACCTACTGGAGTTTTGGGCAGCTAAGCAGCATCTCTGACTCTCACTCAATATGTGTGGCTTGTTGCCTACCACACGAATCTGCACCAGGATTCTGAATGCGTTTTGATTTCAATATGTTGAGGATTAGGAAGATGTATGATTTATTTGGTGGTTCGTAAAGAGTCAATATCAGTTGCAGGATCATTGAAAACCTTAGAGCAATCGTCAGCTGTTTAGTGCTAGTATGGGACTCCTCAATAATGTGCATCCACGATCTAGCGAGGCATCGAGCCCAGGAAAGTCAGTTCTCGCACCATGCATGCTACTATTCAGCCACTGAGTTAGAATCCTATGGTTCACTATCTCCCACTTCTGTCGTTTCGTGATATAGTTTGGCGACCTTCAGTGTTGAGGAATCCCAAGCGAGGAAAAGACAGCTGTCTAGTAATCCGAGGATTTCGATGGTTCTCCAGCTTATATCGTTTCCTGATGAAAACCAATTTCGTACATGATTTAATTATCTGCAATGACTAAGTTTCCAAGGTGTGAATTGAACCAATGTTTGTTAAGCTTTTGATCTCCATATGTGGCTACTTATTTTTCCTTTGTTTATTTTTAGACCAAACAAAGGAACACTGGATTGGTCGTACACTAGAAGACAGTATTGAACTGAAGAGGAAACCAGTCACATCACATGTCTCCAGAATGGTTGGATGTGAGCATTATACGTTATTTAAAAAAAGATGAATACCTTCTTATTCATCAAACTGTTTTTGTTAGCCTGTTGCTAAGATACATCGTTTTATTTATGTAATTGTTGATAAGTGAAGGAGTGTACTGATAGGGCTTATTGATATGTATTACCGCTGAGACGTAAAACTGTGGCTCATTCGTTGAGGGAAATGGTTTTCAACTGTTGGGTGGCGGGTTCGAACCCCGCTTCACCTACTGAGATTTGGGCAGCCAAGTAGTATCACTAGCCCTCAAACAACAGATATGATTGATTGCCTACTGCAGGAATGCGCACAAGCTTGCTGAGTGCATTTTGTCTTATTTTTGTTTAGTCGTGCAGACAATCAATGAGAAACAAGGGAATAACATACGTTTGTAAAACTCCCAGTTAAAAGTTGAAATCGTGAAACTAGTTGACAAACTGATGACAGTTGGAAAAGCCTATAGTGATTACAATTTTTAAGTGGATTTATGGAAACAGAGTGCTAGCAATGGAGTCTAGAACACTCGTTTCGTCCTCTTTAATACTCATCAGCTGGATGTAACTGACTGGTTGACTAGCTGACGAAATCAACATAGAACCTCACACACAGATCCATCCGCTCAAGTTTTCTGACTTCACAAAGATAGATGTATAGGAAAAGACTCATATCAAAGTAGGCAAAGCTGTCTGAGAGAATGAACAATTTGAAGACAAAGGTTAGGGCAAATATTTAAGCTTTAGAAGATGTTAAAGAGTGAATACATCTGAGTCATTGTGACCAATTTTCAGCCATATTGCCAACAATCCTCAACCATTGATTTCTATCGTCTTGAGGAACCCAAACGAGATAGTCTGTATTTTCCCCACTTGGCTCAGGCCAACAGTAAGAGACTTCATGGACTGGTGCTACATTTTGGTCTGGCCACCCTGGACCTAATCCAATTTCCCCTGGTATGACACACCGGGGCAGGTGGTAACTCCGCATGTGCAACACATCCAAGCCACCTCAGTCGATGAAGGTTAGCAACGTCATCAATCGACTTGCAGGCCTTTCTTGCCTAGTACCCTTCGCTTGACCTAAACATTGGTGACAGTGATTCCACCATACTCGATCAGTGCTACGAAGACGTCTGTGATCAAAACGCCATAATCATTTTATGTTTGCTTCTTTCAACGATTATGCCTCTCAGCTGTATTACAGGACAGAACAAACTGCAGTGCAATAAATTCCTCCTGTGAGAGGTAGTCGGATATCCCGCAAATCGGCGCCACATATAACGTAAGTTGGCAAATGCCAAACAGGCCTTCTGTATCCAAGCTAATACTACGTCAACAACTAAACAGTTAGGGCTTATGCAATCCCCCCTCCAAGTAAGTGAAGTTGTCGACGTATTTCACCACTTCACTCCCTATCATTAGACTATTAATGGTTGCAGACCAGTCCTGGAGCATCATCTTACATTTGAAAGGTGCGAAGTACAGGCCCAACATACTCAGATTTCTGCTCAACGCGTTCAGACGACCCTGCATTTTTTCTTCCGGATGTGTTGAGCAGAAATCTGAGTATTGTTGGGGTGGGTTTGCACCTTTCAAATGTATGATGCTCCAGGACTGGTGTACAACAACTGCACGTTACTATTAAGCCAATGGGGCTGGTTCTGACGGTCCACATTTTCCTACTTCTTTCAGTTCCGTTGTGGAGTGCCTATCATCATGTCCGACACAAATTTGTACCGGTTGGCTAAGTTATTATCATTATCGCTTCTGGGGAAACTGACCTTGTATACAGTAGTATGACGTAGTAATCTAGTATTCTCATTAAAGTTGTGCATATTAATGACCGATTTTTAGCACAAGAACGCACAAAATTCATTCTGCTTTTTTCTTTCTCCTTTGATAATGATAGCTGCAGATTATGATGCCCCAGCGAAATTCAAAATAGTACGACAATCTCAACCATACGGGACATTGTCCGGGGATGCTGGTCTATTGTTCATTGCGTATGCAGCGGACACAAAGAATTTCGACTACATGTTAGATCGTATGACTGGTGATAGCGAAGACAGGAAACATGATGATGTGATGCGTTTCACACGATGTGTCAGTGGAAATTATTGGTACTTCCCTAGTGAACCTGAATTCGTTCGTCTGGTTGGCGATGGCATTGGCGTTAAACGTGGATTCTGGCGATGAATATCTAATCAGAGTTGTTTTTTTTCAATGAGCTGGTTATTTTTAGTTTATTTTGAAGCAATGTGAAAGTCACTATTTCATATGAAATTGAATATATTATACTGTGTTTTGCTGCCTTTAATAATATCATTGTAATTAGTTATCGGTGAACACGTGCAAGAAAGTATCTAGATGGTTGAAGTAGTATTAGTCACATGTAGCATATATGTTTTTTAGCCCTTACATTTAGCATATCTGAGCATTTCTCCATGACACATTAATTCTGACTCAAGCTGTCTGTTCACATGCACCTGAAGAATATATTTACTGTATGACTGTGAAACATGGTCATTGAAGGTGGAAGACATGAGAAGGTTTCAGGTGTTTGATCACCACTGCCTTCGTAGTATAGGCCGTGTTCCGTGGTGTCACCACGTGAGTAACGCAGAAGTCAGAGGTAGAGTTTTAGGGAGAAAAGGTAGGTCAGTTGACATGGTTGCGAACCTTCATCGACTGAGATGGTTGGGACACGTGTCACTTATGTCTAGTCGCCGATTGCCTCGTCACACAATGTTAACCGAAGTAGGTTCAGACTGGAAAAAGGCCCGTGATGGCTAGACCGAAACATGGCACTAATGTATGAAGTCTTTGACTGTTGGTTTAAGCCATATGGGACGATGCAGACTAGATGGTTGTGGTCTGCGGGAGAAGAGAAACCAGTGATTTGAGACTGACTCTAGGTGATCACATGGCTGAGAACCGATGTCAGTGACGCAGATGTATACACACATTATCTTAATCTTAACATTATACCGAATCTCACCATTTTCTCATTCTTAGTTTCTCTCCTTAAGTACTTTGTATTTCCCTTGACTGAATTTTCTTTTCTTTATGTTCCACTTTACTGCCTTTTTACTTGATGTAGTGATATGAGCTGTGGCAACTCGGACCGTTAAGCATTAATGACTGGTCCTATGTTGATTTGGATAGATGATGGAAGAATATATTTGTGTGCTCACTATATCTGCATGTCTAACGTTCACTCGAAATCTTTGTTAAAGATTAACTCGGAGTAGCAGCCACCTAGTGAATACATGTTTCTACAATAATCATCTGGCAGCTAATGCTTGCTTAATAAATAGTCGAAATCAAGAAACACATGCACAATCAATGATACAGCTCATCTCTGAAAACATTCAAGATTTTAAAGGTCATTCGTGTGTATGCATCTGCGTCGTTTTGACTTTCGTGGGATGTCAAGCCACCGCCTAGCTCAATGTTCCATGCTAGGTAAAGTTGGGTTAGGTTGGAAGGGGGTTCAGGGTGCCCGACCATGATGTGGCACCAATCGATGAAGTCTCTTACTGTTGGCCTGAAACGAGCGGGGAAAATGCAGACTACCTCATTTGGGTTCCTCAAGACGATAGAAATAAACGGTTGAGGATTGTTGGCAATATGGCTGAAAATCGGTCACAATGACTCAGATATATTCACCCCTTAACATATTTTCTACTTTGGTATAAGTCTTTTTCTATGTATCTGTTCTTTGTGTACTACTGTGAAGTGAGGAGACTTGAGGGGATGCACCTGTGTGATTTCGTCAGTCAGTCAGTCATCCTCTCCAGTCAGACGGCCTACATGGCTTATATGCCACGTTTTAGTTTTGTCACCCTTAGTTTTATTCCAAGCCAATGCTAGTGTGGCTACTGTCGCACATGAAGGTAAGTAGGCCGTGACTTGGCATGCCTTCTCCACGTTAGTTTATGTTCAGTCATAGCCTTTTAGACTGGATTGATAAAGGTCAATAGTACTTCGAAGATGTTCAATTCCTGCTAGAACAGTAAACAAGGATTATAGTGTAACTGATTTACTTGTCGATTAGGATAGAATGCAGATTGTATCAGTGATTTTGTAAAGTAGTAAGAATGAGAACAATTTCCTCTTAACATGTGATAGGGACCGGAAATTTTCCTACTTTGATGTCAGGAAGCGCTGGAGGCATGTTTCGTGTTTTTGGGCATTCATCAACTGGGAGTTTTCGAAACTATGAAGAAGCTGGTGTCGCCTTGGTGATTTAAACCTGCATCACTCAGTGTCGGAGTTACAGACTACTTAGAACATAGCTGACATCCTATCGGACTGATTTTTGTACATAAACTCACCAGTGGGTAACCGATATAGCTATCTTGTTCTTAGTGCCCAAAAATAGCCGAAGTCTACCACTCAGGTTCACAGTATCTTCAATAAGCTACGTCTTCTTTTCTAGTTTACACCTGGCAGAGGTGTGCAAAACTTCCACCCCCGATTATATTTATTGTAAATTATAAGATTCAGGGGATTTCGATACTATTCTATACTGGTAGTTTGATTCTTGTCTCGGATGAGGTAGATATAGGTTTATATTAAGAGAATAAGGTTTAGCCAGATCATTGCATTGCTAACATTATTGATTCCTTAAAATGGAATGCTATACTTTACATCTCATAGTTATGATCGGACTTACCTAGTTTTGTGTAATAGGAAGTTTATGTGGTATTTTCAAGTTTTGAGTGGATTGAAGACTCATCAGACTAACTGTATCGTATGCTAAGGAAAATACTCTGTCATCAATGGTAAATAATGCTAGATTTTGTCAAAAACCTAAGAGATTGGCAGTCACTGTCTGAAGGGTTTTCATGTTTAGGAATTTCCAAGACATTTACCACTCTCTGAAAGTTTTCAAGGCTGATTTGGCTAAGGTTGCATTTGCATTCAAATTGAATTTCTTGTCTAACACTGATAGGATTATAACGACCAGCTGTTGGTATGCTTCGTCTAGCCTGTAGATAGGTAGGCAGTTTGGTACGTTGTCGTAGGGGGTGCATAGAGCGGTATCAGTTTAGTGGTGGCCATGAGAATCTGGAAGGATTAAGAGGAAGATAAAAAGGTGAACTGACGACTCAGCAAGCACAGGATTTCGGTGTTCATACAAGTATTTTCGATCGAAGTTCAAGGCCTTCAATATCGACTGGTACAGTAGAAGAGGTCTATGCTGCTAGTTGTTTATAACTGTCGCCTTAACTGCCTTATGCATTAGGTTTTAATTAAATTGATAGTTTTTATCATTCAGTGAGAGGACTATCTGAAATAGCCATGGTTTGGCAAACGTATTGATACTGGGTGATGATTGAATGTGAAGTGAAAATTTCAAGGCATTGGCTTTCCGGCCCTGTGCCTTACGAACTGAGCTACGAGACCCAACTACTGACCAGATCTTTATTTCTCTTCAATCACCAGGGGTTTTCCCCGACTGCCATATGAATTCGTGATGCGTTCCTACCATTTGGTAGAACACCAGGCTGGAAACCCGGTGATCACTGGTTCGAATCTTGCTGCAGCCTTCAATCATCACACAGTATCAATACGTAAAATGATTTGAAAGGAACTGTGATCTCCTAGTGGGCCTACTGACTTTTAATCTTGAAATCCGGTTTGAGTTCTTGACAAAGAGTCAATCTAACTGCATACATTTCGATGTATTTACTAATGACGTGATGCTATTGTAGGACAACATGGTGAATGCATGGGACAGGCGTCTCTGATTTATTGCGGTAACAATATCTAGTGTCATGCCGCAGATACAGAAGGCTCGGTAAGCATTTGCCTACTTGGGTCACCTGTGGCGCCGATTGGCGAGATATCCGACTACCTATCATAGGACGGGTTTACTGCACTGCAGTTCTGTTATGTTATATGGCTATGAGACTGCCGTTGAAAGAAGATATCAAGCGGTTAAGGCGTTCCCATCACTGATCGAGTATGGTGGAATCTCTGTGTGAGAAATGTTGAGGTCAAGCGAAGGATACTAGACAAGATAGACAACATAAGTTTGTGAATCTTCATCAGCTGACGTGGCCTGGACATGTATGGTGGATGTCGCTCTACCGCCTCCCTCAATGTGCTATGGTAGGGGAAGCTGGATTAGGTTGGAAGGGGGTTCACGGTGACCAGACTAAGACTTGGTACCAGTCCATAGAGTCTCTTACTGTTGATCTGACTCATGTGGTGAGGTGTAGTCTATCTGGTTGTGGTTTCCAAGACCTTAGGAATCAATAGTTGATGATTCACGGTGAAATGGCTGAAATTCTTTTACAATGACGCAGATGTATTCACTTTTTGACGTCTTCTAATGCTTGAATATCCTCACTAAGCTTCATTTTCTAATTATTCTCCTGTACACTGCTGTCTGTTCTGATATCAGTCTTTCTATGCCCGCTTATTCTTTGTATACTACAATGAAGTATGGTAAGTTGAACCGAAGCCGTTGTGTGCGATGTTCTACGTTGATTTTGTTTGTCTGTCTGTTTATCTGTTCTGGTTCTCTCATTGTGCACTTATGCTGATAAACAGGGGAATTATTCAAACTATGATGCGCTACCATTCCAGTTAGTATATGTTGTCCTGCCTTTCGTTCATTGTTAGGTAGTCAAGCGAGTGGGCAAGTAGTTTACCTCGCCACAGCCTGTTTTTAGTTCATTGTTTATATTACTATTTTCCCTGACAGACAGAAACGGTGGGTATATACAGCCGGGACTAAGTTATGCATACCTCTACCGAACTGGCAATTCCAACATCGAACTGTAGTATAGACTACCGCAAGTTTCACTCATTTTCCGTCCTTAGTCAGACTGAATAAAGTGGAGGATTGAAAATGTCGGATTTACCTGTACTTGTAATGATTATTTACAGTTTTCTGGTGTATCGAATCCCACACGATAGGGCAAGCATTGACTATAGGGATATCAGTACACTTTGACTATACAGGAAACAGATGATAAGTTAATTTGGTTGCATGCATGCATGTAAATGCACAACAACCACTTTCAGTGGATTACTGCATCAAACATTCTGTTGTGCAACTTCGGACCGTTTTATGTGTGTGTTTTATATTGTGTACACAGTGTCATTTGATCGATGAAGGTTTTTGCATGTAAATGCCACATGACAGTAGATAGGACACATTTGTTAGACATCTTAAGGGAGCTATTTAATTCGGTTTTGGCGCTTGGAGAACATTTTACACACACCAACACTCACACTAGGGTTCCCACCGGAAGTACTATTTAGTAAAGTATATATATATATATATATATATATATATAT